ATTTTTCTAATTTCATTTGCTTAGCTGTTTTATTCTTATTGTTGCTTTCCTCCCAAAAATTACAGCCTTGCTGCTTTACTAAAATATTAAAGCAATACTAAACAACTTTTACTTTTGAATTATGTTACATCAAAAGATTTCTGAAAAGATGCATTTTTCAATAAAGTTCCAGCTCCTAGACTTGTTATAATTCATATCTGAGCAAAACAAAGTCAAAATTTATGCTTCATAAATCTCTCCTATACTTTTTCCTCAGAACTTGCTAATGTTATGTTTCTATTCAAGCATTCCAGTTTATATATAGAATTTTCATGTAACAGGCCTGGGATAAATGGTATCTGTTACATGCCCAAGACTGTATAACCTGTAAGCAATTCATAGGCAGCTGTCTCTTCAGTTTACTAAAAAAAAAGATACTAAATCAGTCTCTGGCCATGCTCTACTAAGAGTTTTTGAAATGTAACAAACACAAAGAAAGAGGTCCAGACTTTCTCATTTTCACATCGAAATCCTCATGGAGTGACCCAACTGAGCACATCATGAGCCTTTAGAGCTTCAGTGCAAGCCATCAATGCTGGCACTGCCTTGGAGGGTCTGAACTCCAATGCCATTGCACACCTCTCTTGAGCCCCCCATCCCCCCTGAAACCTCATCATGTGGCTCAGCTCCCTTCACCAAGGTCCTAAATCTTTCCATTCTCCTTTCTCTCCACCTGCACCTTACTCCCATCTCATCCCACTCCTTCATGGTGCTCATGCTCTAAGCAGGGCCCACCACGCCACCAGTGATGCTTGAGGTAAACCAAGCACAGCCACACACCACTGTTTGGTATTCACTGTTTGAGTTTTTTTACATTCTGCAGAGTCTTGTGCCCACCTCACGAGCTCCTCGGGCTGAAAGAAGTACTGGTACAGCACCCAGCACAACAGCCCTCACTTGCAGTCGTGTGTGCAATACAGGTGAATCAGTCTCTCCTTAAAACACTTCAAAAAATCAGAGGAGTCCAACAGAAGGGAAAAAAAGGTAAAGAGAAGGGAGAACAGAGGCAGGAGATAAAGGAAATAGAATACTGGAAGCAGCATTCCAAGGTGATACATCCTCTCCTTTCCCTGATGTCCTTCCTTGACTTGGCCACGCTAGAAGCAGCATTCCTCTCCTTTATTCCTATATAACAGTCCTTCTCTTTTCTTCTTTTCTTTTATTTTCTTTGTTTTCCCCTCCTAGATAAATTTTAACATTTACTCCCAGCCCAGACTGACAATGACATCCAAGAAGAAGTACCACCTGTATGGCACTTCCTCACTGGCTGGGCTATCTCAGGTCTGTGCTTTTATTCCATGCTTGCCAAGAACCAAGAGGTATTTAAATTCTTTTCACTTCATTTCCTCATCTTTCCACCTGCCAACAGCAGTCACAGCCTCAAAAATTATTCTTCCTTCTTCATTTCAGGACTGACATATAGCCTAATGTAACAAACCCAAGCACCTTCGCTGCTAAAACCACCGTGGCAATGAAGGGGCTCATGCCTTAAAAATACTAACCACCAAATTACTTTCATATATCTAAAGCTGCATTTTAGGTGAGAAGATGGAAGATTATAAAAACAGTGTTTTCCTTTCACTTTTATCAACACATATATAATCCCTCACTACTCTCTCAGTCATATCTCTGGGGTTCTTTTCAGGGAAAAATGAAAATCATTAAAAAAACCCAGCCAAAAACCTCAATTTGGGGAAGAGGTAGCAACAATCTACAGATAGTTCACACAGCTTTGGATGCAACTCGGTGAACATTAAGGTACAGTTTTTCAAGTGGCTTGAATGATAAATAAAAATGAAGAATCATTTGGGGCAGGAATACCTCAAAAACATCCAAAGTCTGGTCTCAAGGAAGCAAAAGTGCTCTGAGCCACCTCTTCCCACATGGCTGTCACACAAAGCACAAAGACTTCATGTGGGATTTCTGCATGACAGGTATCACACAGTACACTATGTGTAGCTCTACAAAACTAGTATTTACCCTCCCTCCAACCAGATGAAGCACACTTTGCAGTCAGCCCAGCAGCTGATAAACTGGATTTGCAACACTACATGCAGGTTCCTGAGAAATCATGATGTTACTCAACAAAGGCAGCAGGGGCAAATTCCTGTTTAAAGGAGTGCCTGCCCTGGAGCCTCTCAACCCCAATTCTTGCTCTTCTCCCAGTGAGCCCTGTCAATAATCCCTGCTCCTGCCACCCTGAGCCCCTACACCTGCTGGCCCTAAGTGACCACAGAGGTGCTCTGCCAGCTTCCCTGCTGCAAGACCCCATGCGTCAACAGTGCTCCTCAGATTATTAAGAATTAAATGCACAAAGAAATACTTTCAGCTGAGTCAAGGCCACAGCATTCAATACTTGGCAGTCCCAAGGCCCTTTTCTGACACAGGATAACATAGTAATGCATGAAAGGGGGAAACAGAGAGTAAAGATAAGAAAGTAAAAAAAAAAAAAAAAACCAAACCCAAAAAAACCTCCAAATATTGTATAACCTTTTGAGTAGCACAAGATTTTCCTCATTACAGCCCAAGTAAAAATAATGCGGTAGAAATAATTTCAGGAGCAGGAACTGAGAGCCCTGCTTGTCAGCATCCACTGGGAAGGAAACCTGTCCATGGGGCTGGAGCTCTATTCTTGATGGAAAATCTTCACCTGGAAGAGTAACTAAAAAAAGCTGCAGCAAAGGACAGCAAACTACAGCAGTTCTAGGACAAAATGTGCTTCAAGGCCATACCAGAACACCTCATTTTTGCAGGTACATACATGAGGGCAGAATCTGGCCTATATTCCATACACCTTAAGTTACTGTTCATAGGGGAGGGAAAAAAAAAACATCTTGAGTTACAGCAGAATCTGCAAAAGAATAAAATTAATCTTACAGCTTGTTGGACAGAAGGACTCCTGTTCCTTAGAACACAATACTAGGGCAGTGCTAATAAACCTCCATACCCAAAAAGATAAAATTGGGAAACTTTAGTCCTGAACATTTGCCTATGAAAACTCCTTTTATACATAACAAAACAAATAAGCAAAAAAACCTTAAACTTTCTTTCAAATTAAAAAAATCTATCATTTGTAAAAAAAATGTTCCCTTCATTGAGACAGTGATTTGAGTTAAATAACCTCTAGTAATAGGCAGCATTTCTCTTGCACTGAAACATTTCTCATTAGCCAATTAAATACTTGATTAGCTCTTCAGCTGTGATACTAGCAAATATAAAATGCAGCAGCCACTCTCCCAGCCCATCATCGCAAATATATCCCTTTTCCAAAATGTGCCTTTATTCAGGCCCATCAGTTTGCTGCTTCTTTACAGTTAAAACAAACAAGGATCAATTTGATACCCAAGGAAGTGAGTTTCCAGTTGCTGACATCAGTTAAGCCAGTAACTTTAATTCCTGTGAGAGCAAAGTGCTGTGTGACTAACTTTCCCCTTTCAGTCCTGCAGCAAGGGCTCAAAGCCTGAGTTGGGGCAAGTAGCAAAACAGGCAAAGATATGAGAAAACTCCTCTTGTTAGAAATAAAATATGGAGAACACGTAAGAACAGTTTTCCTATTTGAACATCATACAAAGAAGTGTTGCAGTATTTTTGCCCATGTCCAGAGAAATGGTTTTCCATCCCAGCAGTTCTGATTGCAGCACTGTACATTTCACTGGTGCAACATGGCAGCCCCATTTAACTCTAGACAAAGCTGCAGTTTTATCACCATACCTTGTGTCAGCTGAACCAAAGTATGTCAGGTGGCAGCTGATGGACTTGCACACAAAGTAGGCATGTACCCAAAAAGAAATTTAGGTGTTCAAGAATCCAACAGCACATAGGAAAGCCAAATTCTGAGTCTTTTAAACTTGCAAGTAATCATACCACAAATATTTAAGAATCTGTAGGAATCTAGCTTGTCACTAGACTTTCTGGAATTGTTTTTTTTAAGGAAAGGTAAAAAAGAAAAAAAAATTGGTGTTCTTGGATTAATTTGAATATATCCACCACTGCTTAAAAAAATTATGAAAAACATGTAACAATTCACAATTCTGGTAAATGTTGCTTTGCTGCTGTGAGGTCTGAAGCCAGGAGAAAAGGCAACATTATATAATATCCTGAAAGAGCAAGGTAATTGAATAAACCCACTCTCTTCCACAATGGTGCAGATTACTTCATCCACGATGGTCTTGAAAATGAGTTTAACTCTATAGATAACTATGTTCTTCACAACAAAAGGAATGAAAATGAGAGGAAACCATTTTTGTTCACCAAACAGAAAACAAACAAAAACCAGCAGAAGGGCTAGTAAGGAGAGAATGGTTAATCTCACATTTCTAAAAGGGTATTATAAACAAAGCATGGTGAACAACAAAAATAAAGGATTAAAAAAAAAGATACGAAAGTGCTTAATGGTGTTCTTTTAAATATTTACTTTGCTCTATTTGGAGAATAATTTGTTCCATTTAGTAGCATTGGGCTCAAAGGACCGCTTTAATCCAGAGAGATTAATTATAGCCTTTGGAGTTATAAACACAATTTGGGAAGTGAAGCGGAGAAGAGGAGAGAGACTCCTCTCATGCTGGCATTTTAACAAGTTTATGTGCTTTGGGGCTACGCTATGCAGGCTACACCTCTACACTGCAGGCAGAACAGGACACCCATGAATTGTGGAAAAGCAGCCCCCAGGACATCCAGGGGGCTATCCTGAATATCCTACAGCGTTGCTATAGGCAACTAAAATACTTCTCAGGTGTCCTTCATCAAAATACAAGTTCACCAGCACATTACAAAAAACATCATCTTGCTCTTATTACCAGCACCAGAAAGGAGCTGCCGCACTGAGACGAGCAGCGCACACGGGGTCTCTAAGACCTCTCACATGCTTTCACGTATTTCTCCCTCTGGTCATCACTGTGTCCCAGACCAGGAGACAGAGGGACCAGCAACAATTACTGGGGCAAAGCTGGGAGCAATCTTACCTAGCAAGGGATTGGCTGCTCCCTCCTCCGAGCTCTCCTCAGCCCCCTCCTCTCCCAAGGCAGAGGTGGCCGAGTCCTCCGGGGCGGATGCAGAGCCAGGGGTGCTGGGCCCGCTGACCGAGCCCGAGTCCCCTTCCTCGCTGCTGGAGCCGTAGCGGTCGGGCTGGGCGGCCGTCCCGCCCTCGCTGCAGCTCCTGCGCTCCTTGCGGTGCACCCGCGAGTGCAGCACCATTTGGTGGTAGGTGCGGAAGATCTTCCCGCACTCAAAGCACTCCGTGGACTTGTTCTGGGCAGCCCGCCGGCTCTGCCGCGAGGCAGGGCGATAGTCCAGATCCCCGGGGGCAGGCGGGCAGCTCTCCCCCGCTGGGACACTGCCGGGTTTCTCCAGGCGCCCACCGGTGCAGCTCTTCTTCTTGGGGTTGCTGGGCGAGTCCTGGTCTCGCTTGCGCTTCTCCTGGTTGACAAGGATATACTCCCTCTTATCCTTGTCATAAGTCACGTCTGCATCTGCCAGGGCCTCATCCCATCCCACATACTTCACATACTCTGAGGGCTCTACTACTTTTCCTTTGGTGGCCAGCTGCCAAGCTTGGTAGCTACTGACCGGATCCAGCTCAGCTACTCTTTTCCCAGGCTGTCCTCTCATAACTCTATCCAGCCCAACAGATGGCCGTAGATTGAGACACTGCAAGAAAAACTGCTTGGTTACCGAGGAGCTCAGGCTCCCATCAGTCAAGCCCTCAGCTTTATCCCCGGTGCTGCCCGGCTGCACACGGTAGTGAACAGCATTATGCACTTTCAGGCTTTCCATATTTGTAAACAGATTTCCACACTTGGTGCAAACTTCATACAGAGATAGGCCGGTCACAATTGTCTCCTCTTGTATCACATCATTGATAGTGGCGATCAGCTCCAAATCATTTTTTGGTTTGTTTTTGCTCCCAGACCTGGGGCCATGCGACTTCATGTGGTTTTTGAGAAACCAGGGCTCCTTGAATCTCCTGCCACAAATATGGCACCCGTGATCAAATGACCCCCTGTGCTTTTTCATGTGAGCTTTCAGGAACCAGGTTTGACTAAAGGTCTGACCACAGACTTCGCATGGGAACTCGCCCACATTCAGCTCGCTCTTGCAGTTCTCAGTGTAGGTCTCCCCATTGGGGACCTGAGCTGTTATATGGTCTTTCTCTATATGGTTTAACAGCGTCTCCTCCCTCAGGGTCATGTAGCTACACAACCTGCACTTGAATGGTTTGTGGACCTGGTGCAGGTGCTGCTCCAGGTCCTTCTTCCTTTCGAATTTGTTTTTGCAGAAGGTGCACTGGTAAGAGGTCAGCTTGTCATCCTCCTCAGCTGGTGCCATCTCTGTGACCTCCTTCTTGCTGCTTCTCAACAAGATCTTGCTGCTATCGACCTGAGTGGTACCGTTCAATATCTTGTTGCAGGCAGACGTACTTTTAGTGGGGCTAGTGCACCCGCCAAGGCCCTCAGAAACGCCCATCTCCCCCAGCTGTGCCTCTCCCATCTCTGCCTCGTGCCCCTGACTTAAAGTGCCTGTCCTGTGACTGCGGATGTGAATCTTCAGGTTGCCCTTTTGGGAAGCTCTGTGATCACAGTAAGGGCATTTGTAGGGCTTCTCACCTGTATGCTTCCTCATGTGCTGCGACAGGGAGCTCTGAAAAGGGAAACTTTTACCACAGATGCAACAACTGTGGCACATGGTCTTGTCAGCATCCACGTCGTTCTTGCTTAGCTTGCCAGGGCTGGAGGATCTCCGTAACTCCATTTCTGCCTCTCTGCTACGATCCATCTGTATTACTGCAGCAGGGGGTAAGCGGGGCAGGAGGACAAAAGCATGTCCGGCAGCAGAGGAGGGCTGGACCGCGTTCTCAATCATACGGTTCTGCAGAGAGGGGTTCTATTGCTTCATTCTCAGGGTGACGCTTCTTTCAGCCGCTCCACAGAGTCCACAGCACCAATTTATTTCTGTGTGCTTTGTAAGCAGAAGGCATAGATCACCTGAAACAAGAACAAAATCACACAAATGTACAGATTCTTAAATATATTCAAACCTGTTCATGTTTTGAATTCAGCAGCTTCTATCACTCACTCCGCACTCAGAAGCACACCATATGACAATCTACTGCACCAAAAGGCAGTAGTTTCTCTTTCTGTTGATATTCTAGACTTCAATGACAAGCATAACTACTAAATAAGTAAAATCCATAAAAGAGCAAATACTCATTTCCATACGCTGACATCACACTTGAACGAAGTGCAAACTTTAAAAATATTTTTTGTTTTAAAACCAGGCAGAAGTGGCTAAAAATACACCTTAAATGAGGAAAACATTTCTTGTGGGGGTTATTACACTTTAAATCTGTGGCTTTACCATCATGTGTAATTTCATGTAAAATACTTACTTGCCAAAGATAAAAGGCTTTCCTAGAGACTTTAGTAAGTATCATATTCCTGCTGGCAACTGCATTACTTTGTGTCTCAGACAGCTCGGCTGTGCTTGAAGTGGCAGGCACAGAAAGGCGCAAAGGCTGAGGACGCTCAGTACTTTGATTACAGAGCAAACAAGAATGCAGGGCTTGACAAAGCACTCATGAAAACTAAAAGTTATTTCCTGCCGGACAGTGAACTAAAAAGACCCTCCAAGTATAAATTTCAGTCTCAAACTAACAAAGCAAAGTGATAATGTAGCTATCAAATTACCTCAAATGTGAGTGATTTATGTCAACATGACACACAGGAAATGACACCACCACCCACCTCAATGAAACAGAGTTTTAACTATAAACAAACAAACAAAACAAGAAAAAAACTCTGATTAACAGAGCAGATTAATAAAAGTTTAAATATTTTTGTATCTCTTCATGAATAAATGCAAGGGTCAGTATCTTAGTGCAAGATGAAACACACCAGCACCTTGTATACAGCAAAAAACAATGATCAAAATCCACACAGGCTGTTTCTTTTCCAATTACTACACTGTAAAACAAAATCTTCCCCCTCTCCTACCCTCATTAAGGACTACAAACACCACATGACTAAGATCAAAGAACACAGCATTCTCTAATGAAGAGAACTGATCTATTGCCACATTAAGAAAACATCAGCTTCTTAAAATGTAGCTAAAAATATGCAGAGCACTAATGAGACCATATATTCCCACATCCATCACTTGACATCTATGACTCAACAAAGAGCTACAGATCTACAGCTGCAAATTTTAAGATTTCTCACTGTATTCACCTCTGAGTCTCTTCAAAACGTAAATAAGCAGTCTTACCACAGCACCAGCAGGAGCTAAACAAAAAGCAAGACTGTCACAATGCTCATCTCAGTTATGGGCTACAGAAGAATTTCATTACATTTAATTTGATCTAGCCCTCTTATTTGCTACAAGACATTCATTTCTGGGCTGGTATTTCTGCATATCTAGTATCCATTTAGCATGTTAGGGAGTTCTCAAACAGCATCAAACCCAAACTACCTTCTCCTCCGAGAGTTGGCAATAACATTTAAGGGATGGGTTACAAAAGCAATTTTATTTCTTGAATGAAGCATTTTTTATTATTCAAAAAAAAAAATAGGTATCTCAAATTCAGAAATCCACATGAGCAGGAAGTTTACAAACTACAGAATCTAAACTAATCTTTGAAATTAGTCATTTAAAATCAAACAGAGACAGCCTCAGAAGAAACTTCCTCAGTGAATAGAGGATGTCAGCCACTGAAATTGTGGCTGCACCAGAAGGTACAAACACACCACAGTGTGGTGTGTTTATATTGCCCATCAGTGGAAGAAACATCTTATTTATCTGACCCACAACCTAAAACTGCCAAGTGACAACCTATATTGTCTTATAACCAAAGATTTAACCTAGAAGTCATTAAATCATAAAAAGAAACACCAGGTTGAAGTATACTATGCTAAACTATACTGTTTATGCAAGTAAACAGCTTCTTCTGAAATGTTCCACACCATTTCAGAAAAGAAATATAAAGCTTTGGGAACAAATTTTTTCCATGTATTTTATACATTGTTTTCTACATTCTTAATTTTCTACAGCTTACACCAGTCAGGATATTGCTTCTATTGGCAGGCTGATTTTTAGACTAACAACTTTTTTTTTTATTTTAAAATGTAGGGCCCATTTTAACTCAACTTTCTGCAGTGTTTCCTGTCTGAAAGTTCAAGAGAGCTTTAAGAGCAAAGCTTAGACAAGAATGCTGTACACAGCAGTCCAAGCACATGTAGATCGAAAGCTTCAGAGTCCCTTTGTTTACTTGGCCACAGATTCCCTGGGCTTAGTCTTGACATATTTCACTTTAATTATTTATAGCATTTTCATTAATGAAACTTAGTTATGAAAATGAGGCTATGAAGAAAGCATTACTTATAAGAAGGGTATTAGCCACTCACAGGAGATCCCCCTAGTCCTGTATTAAATTAGGCCTGAGGGGGAAAAATGTCAGACTTAAAAACTACTGAATAATTTTATTAGTATAAAATACTTAATGGAAGTGTTACTGTCTTCACAAAAATATTCTGAGAATTTTTTTTTCATCTTTATTAGTTAATCTTGCCCAATGCACTGCAATCTGTGACTTAGAAGTTGAAATAAAGTATTCCTAGACTTGAATTATTCCAATTCATGCACACAAGACTCACAACATTTCAAGTCTGATATTCCACAGACAAAATTCTAGGGGAAAGAAGAATGTTCACCCAATCTGAGCTTGTTTTACACAGCACATGGAGATCAATATATAAACAACTCACTTCTCTCTCCTCATATAATTTGAGTGGCTGCTTAGAAGCAATTCTTCCAGAGGGGTCTCTCTGCAGAACAGCAAAGCTGGTTCATTGTAAAGTGGTAAATAAAATTACAACTTTGAAAAAAAGCTTCAATTTAGAAGACTGAACATACAAAATAAGGGAAAGATCAAAAGATCACCTGTAAAAAATTCTAACAATAGAAAATAACATTCTGTCTTAATAATTTTTACTTTAAAGGTTAAAGTAAAAGATTTTACTTTAAACATTAAAGATGGCACAATGGATAGAAGACAACTGGTAAATCAAACAACACCAGTTATCTTTCATGAGAAGTAAAATTTTGCCATCATTACCTTTGTTTCTTTCAGCTGGTGTGATGCTAAAAAAGGTTGTATTTTGAAATAATTCCAAATTTTAACGTATTCTGAAATAATTCTCTATCAGCACACATGGAATGCAGCCACCTCCAGCTACCCTCAGGCTGCTGAAAGTGTTTCAGGTGATAAGCAGCAGCCCTCCACTGCTTTGGTCCAAGCTCACCCTGCAGTTCCATAGCACTGGCTCATCACACAGAATCCACAGCACAGTCACACCCACCCTGCAGATTCCTCCCAGACTGTCACAGCACAGAAAGCCCTACCAGCAGAGAGGCAAGCCATAAGAAAACACAAATGAATGTAAACCATAAATTAATACACAGTCTTTAAAAATATTTTCTGGCACTGCAGTCTATGCCAAATGCCATCCAGCTACTTGGGGGAGCTGTGATACTCTAAGGGGCAGAGGAACTAGATTCAGTTCATTTTGTTGAACTAGGAACCAGCAGCTCAGTTCATGTAAGAAGCAGCTGGCCAGTATCCATGAGGCATTTTCAGCCCCTTTAAATACACTTATCATCACTGTTTACACACAAGTTTGGTATATAAAGCAAGATGGAAGAGAAAAATGAACAAAGACTGAAAACTATGAGGGGTGGTGTGCTGAGAAATAAATGCCTTTGCACAGCCAAATATTTTAGTTATAAGGTTTCTTCTTGCACTATTGCCTCACCAGATTCTTTGCCTTGACACACATGGGAACAAAAAAAAAAACAAACTTTGTTTTATTCCCCTGGTACCCCCGAAGGGAAAACAAGCTTCCCTACACACTTAAAGCAAGTACTCGTCAGAATCTACTCTATTTCAAACATTTAGGCATCAAAACTCCTTTGGTTTTTAAAACTAACTTGGACAGAGTTGTTTCCTTTCAGAGAAAGCACATTTGACCAAAGTGACTTGCTCTCACCACAGAGCCCCAGCATCTTTTCCATCAGCATCCATGACTTTCCCAGTGAGCCAGTGGTAGCCTGTCCCTGCTGGCAGCTCAGCAGGTACCCTGGTGCACGGCTGCATCACCCTCACAACTTCTGCAAGACCCTCATTTAGCCTTGCCATGAACAGAAGCACAGGGCAAGAGCACTTTGTGTAACACAGGAACACTCTGAAATACATATTACTCTTCTCCTTCATCCCATCTTCATACTCTGGAAGAGGACCAGGTATTGAGGACTGCCCACAGGTCCTCAAAGGAAAGACACAGCCTCCTAAGGACCTTTTGTGCCTCTTGGAAAACAATTAATAAAAAGAGAAATTGAAAATAAACAACACAGGAAAACTAGAGGGGGAGAATAAATTAAGACAAAAAGAATTCAAAAGATACTACACTGGAAAAGTAATTGCAAATTCATTTCTTACATACAAATATGCTGTGCAGTGCAGACAGAGAAAAAGATATAAAATTGTTCCTGTTCCAACACAGAACAAGCAAAGTATGTATTTCTTTTAAATTTCTCCTTAATTAAACATGATTTTTAAAATCATATTGCATGATACATAGTGGTAAGAAGGGAAAACTCTTCAGTAAATAATAAAGAAGAAAATACAATTTGGGAAGACACACAGACCTACTGAACTAGCAGAGTGTATATTTTAAAACAAACTGCTTTCAGTCTGGGTGTATTTCAAGTCCCATCTGAAAGATAAATGCACTGGAGAAACAATCGCTCTTCTAATCTCCAAGAGGTTTGAACATACACTGCAATCACACCACCATGTTCCTCTGCCAAGAGCAACAAGGACTTTAAACAAACCAAAAAAAAAACTAAAAGAAAACCTATGGGAGGCATGATCTG